CACATCATTTGGGCGGGAAAACCCTAGGTGAAAATTCCCCTGCTTTTAAGTATAGTATAGATAGCCCTTACAAACCAAAGTTACGACCCGCCCTAAGCCCACAACCTCCACGAAAAGAAATAGACCCACACGCACACAAATGCAGATGTACACACTCCCACCATGCGCGCGCACACACAAACGCACACACGCATGCGCACTCACACACAGATACATACATACATACATACAATATATATACAATATATATATATATTGTGTGTGTGTGTATGTATGTATATGTATATGTAAATGTCTTGGGAAATATTGATTAAATATTTAAAAAAAAGAAAGAAAAGAAAAATCAAAAAAAGAAAAAAAAAGATCCTGACAAAGGGAAAGCCAAAAGTACTCCATGAGTGGAGTTAAAAAGGTGGAAGTATGCATGTGATTAGATTCTCTCCTGTAGCAAATTGATTGGGGCAAATAATTATGCTTCTCTTTGCCCTTTAAAATGGAAAGGCTACGGTGTATTTGTGTGTGTGGGTTTTACACACCACTAATGTAGAGAGAGAAGCATGGGAGAAATTCTACACAAGAATACAACCGGGAAAATCCAAGGGGTCTTGGTAAGTGTGCCACTCACATCCCTCATTGACCAAAATCAATGAGCCTTTTTATGTAGGCCCGTATCCTACACTTTCTAGACAAATACTCACAGACTTTAAATCAGAACATTTGTCCCTTCTCAAAAAACATATAACAGGACTTTATCACCTTTATATTAAAAAAGAGAGTATATAAGAAGAACACAAACAAGAGAGTAAAAAGACCACATCCCAATATTTTTCGGTATCTTACGCGCTTAAAATCCCAACAATATGTTTATGTATATGTATATGTATATGTATATGTATATGTATATGTATATGTATATGTATATGCATATGTATATGCATATGCATATGCATATATGCATATTTATATCTATATATATGTGGGATTGACTCTAGTGAGATGACACCTTACGGTCAGATGACATGTTTCAATGAGATGACGCCAAGTTCACCACATTACACTACAATGCTCACCACTTTGAACACCAAAACTCACCTTTTTTGTTAAATATTGAAAATTAAAAAATTAATTAAAAATAAAATAGCAACAGCGGTCAACCACCGGTCAGCACAGGCGGCACGGCGGTGGAGCAGGGGCGGCGGCGCGGCAGCGGTCAACGGTCAAAATCTAGTCAGCACCCCTTCTTTTGATTTTAATTTTTTCAAAAAAATTCAAAGTGTTGAAAAAATATGGTGAGTTTTGCCTTACAGTTTGGTGAGCTTTGTAGTTGTCTTTGGTAAGTTTTGCAATGGCCAGTGGTGAGCTTTGCGTCATCTAACCGTAGCATGTTATCTTACCATAAGGTGTCATATGACTAGAGTCAAACCCCTGTGTGTGTGTGTATATATATTTTTTTATTTAAGGAGGATTTTTTATTAGATGGAAGCCAATGAAAGTACAAGTACAAAAGCTACCCGAAAGTGGTAACAAAGAGAGAAACAAAATAAAATAAAGTAAAGATCAAACTTAAATCCAGACTACAATTCCATTGTGTGTGTGTCTATATATATATATATATATGTGTGTGTGTGTGTGTGTATGAGAATATTTAGTTATTTTATTCGGATAAAAGCAGTTGTTACATCACATAAAGTACTGAAATGAGAGTAGTAAGTATATGAGCAAAACTTAAGTGCATATTTTACCCCCTAACATTACGGGGTAATATATATATATACAAACACACACACACACATGTATGTATGTATGTATGTATATATATAATATATATATATATATAAATAATATGTATGTATGTATGTATGTATATAGGGGTCGGTTCTTGTGAGAGTGATTCTATATGAAAGAAATAATAATAATCACGGGCCATTAGATAAGATTCATCGGGTGGATTAGATTAACTCGTTTATTATTTACAAAAACTAATTTAAAAATGGAAGGAAATAAATTAGGTGCAGTAAAATAGGCATAACTGTGCTACTAGGGGCATAATTGGAATTCTAGAAGGGCTAAAGAAATCGTGATTATTTCAAACACTGTGCATATCCCACTTATTCCGCTCTTTCCAAGTTCATCGGTTATATAGCTTCCCTTGATTACTCCGTTCTAATAACCACTTAACTTTAGCTTCCAAGCGGCGGTGGACAGAGAGACAAAAAGAGGAAGAATTTACGATGGCGAGTAAAGCTTCTAAGATGACAACCATATCGGAAACCAAGGCAGCGATGACTTCAATGGAAAAGACAAATTATATATGGATGCATAAGAAGTCTTCAAGCATTGTGTTTATTGGTATTCAGAATTTGCTCTTGTTATCAATCTGTAATTTTTTGGGCTAGAGTACATTAAATACAAAATTTCTTATGTGTGTTTGAAGTCTTTGTCTTTGGGAAGATGCAATTGGGTGTTTTCATGATGCATCATGGTATGCCCTTTTTAATGTTGGATATTGTTAATTATGTATTATGGAAATTTTGTTAACCATAACTGCACGTGATACGAAGAGTAAAAATGTGGGGGTTCTTTTGAAGTTTGTTAAAAAAGTGGTATTTGTGAAACTCTATTTTTTATTGACTACGGAGTAATATATAATTTGTATTTAGTGAGTTGCATTAATAGACATAAAATATGCATCTGTGGAAGAGTATAAGACATTTTTGCTTGTCGTTTACTCCCTTCATTTCTTAAAACAGTTCCTCTTTTATTTTTTTGTTATCTCTAAAACACTTTCGTTTTTGCAAAAAATGACTAAAATATCTAAATTAAGTCGTTGCAATATACTCTATTCAATTGTCATTGATATAATAACTCATTTAATTAAATGATTCGTCTCTCTTTTTCTATGATGATAAGGATATAATTAGAAAGTCAAACTACAAAAAATTAATCTCTCCCAAGTCAAAACAGAAATCATTTTAGGAAACGGATGGAGTAATTATTTTGTTGGCAGAATGCACAGTTTTGTTCGAATGCATGGCTACTTCGTGGCTACTTTTCATTTGTTAACTTGGATACCACATGGCTACTTCTTAATTATTAATGTTAAATGCAAATAATTGTAAAGACATTTAAACATTGAAAGGTCATGTTCACAAAAATAAAAAATAGTGTGTACACAATTTTATTTCTTTTTACTTTCTAAATATATTGTTTTTAAAATATATATTATTATATATAATTTGCTTTTATATTATCAAAAATATTTATAAGATATATGTGATAGAAAATACAGAGTATATTTAATTTGAGGGAAGTTAAGAATAATTGTTTTTTATTTCAATATATGTATGTTATCATTTTAAAATACCAAGTATGGATTAATTTAGTGTATGATTGATTTTAAAATTATTAGTTTAAGTCAACATGTTTCTGATTTTATTCAATTCACAAATGCATTTAGGTTTGTATATATCTTATTATATTTTGGATATATTGATAACTCATTTTATGTGTAACTATTAATTCTATTTTGTGACTATTTCAAAATTAGTAAATTTTGTGTACAAAAATAGTTTGAAATTTGTAAAAGAAGTAATTTTTCATACTCTAACAAAAAAAAATATTTAAAAATTATCAATAAAAAATATATATTTGGGTGAGTTAATGTGTATAAAAGAATAATAGATATAGATGAGGTCGAAATGAGTTCAACCATTCAGTTGAGAAATATTAACAGATCTTAGAAATAAGAAGTCTAGAGGGTCACGTTAAGTAGATGAAAAGAATTTTTTTCATGTGTTCACACGTGTAAAAAATATACTTACATGTTTTATATATTAATAGTAGCATAGCGAGTTAACGACTTTAATACATATTCAAATTTATTTTTAATTTCACATTTTTTTTAAAAATGAAATATAAAATTTATCTATATATTTTACGTAAAAATATATGAGTCTGTGTGAAGCACAGATTTGTTTTCAATTTCACATTTTTCTAAAAATGAAATATAAAATTCATTGATATATTTTCTATGATAGGTTCTGGTAGTATCACAAACCGTCATGGACTGCGTCCACCCCTATGAAGCACAAATTAATTTTAGATTTCATATTTTTTAAAAAATGACATACAAAATTTATAGATATATTTTACGTAGGAATATAACAAATTTATGTGTACACACCTAAGAAATATCAAAAGAATATTTTTCATGTGTACACGCGTGTATAAAATATACTTACATGTTTTATATATTGATAATGCAACGTAGCATAGCGAATTTAATACATATTCCAATTTAGTTTTTATTTCACATTTTTTAAAAATGAAGTATAAAATTTATAGATATATTTTATGTAAGAACATACGAGCCCATGCGAAGCACGGGGAAAACACTAGTGAACTATATAATTCATCATGAATCGAGAGAACCATTTTACAAGATGCATCATCTAGAACGTTATACTAAATTTTCAAGAATATCAAAATGACTCATTTTTTGAAAGACCGCGTATGAGTGAGGCATTAGAGGTGTTAAGATTTTCATGTGTGACTACCAAAATAGATAATTTAGAAGACATTATATTGTTTGCAGAATCAGTGACTCTTTAGAAAGAATGCAATATTTTCAGCAAAGAAATGGATCAAACAATATTACAAGATGCATACCCCCGAACATTAAAAAATGCTCAGTGGTGCGTGCGAGTCAAGGGGGATATCGTTTAGACTAGTTTTTTAGCTTGTCCATATGGTCAAATGATATAATTGAGAATAGTTTTAGTGGGCGTTAACTTCAGTTGGAAGAGGTCTAATATGCATGGAGTCATTTTTTGGTGTTTGTGCTTAAATATATTGTTACTTTGTGCCTTGAAAAAAGTGTTCACTTTGTGTTTGGTGCAATATTGTATGGCATCCATATGTATGAGAAATTGAGAATATAGAAATTTTTTTCATGGAAAGAAACGTAATAGTAAATTGTGTGTCGCATCTTTACAAAACAATAAATGTGGATTGTTATATTCAAACAACAATGCATATATAAATGAGTAAATAACAAAGAACTTCCATCAGGTTACACCTGTACTTCTTTGCCACTTTTGATTCACATCACACTACCTTTGTTATGAGCTGGTGTATGTGGTAATACATATATTATATTTTAGATGGTTTTGTTATGTCGTAGAATGTCTCAAAGGCGTCATTTTTTCCAGTTTTTATTTGCCCGAACCGAGCTGACAACCTCATGCATTTTTTTCTTTCTAATAAGCTTGGAATGCACACGTAGCAATTTAATCTTGCGCTCAACGAGAGCAACACAACAAACAATGTCGGACCAAACGTGGTTGATCGATATTTTATATCCTTCTAAGAGAGAGAGTTCCCCATAGTCCATCGCAAGAGAACCAAACATTGGCCTGACAAAATAGATTTTACAACACTTGTATAGTGTATAAAACTCTAGAATAGTGGAATCTTATCACACTTCAAGTCTTTAAGAACCAAAAAATAAATTTATAGAACAATCCAATATGCTGATAAGCTACAAGATGCACTTTGGTCTTTGGACGAGTGCATTACTATAATAACCATACCTCTAGCGTCTTTGATTGCATACTCTACCCTATAATAGCTTTCATACACACATAAGACACGGCATGAAAAGAAAGAAACGAGATTGCCATACTCAAAGTCAGCATTTAAGTGAGCATTCTTATGACATTAAGCATCCAAAGCACAATCAAACTGCTTCAACATTAAAACCGGAGTGATGTTTTTGTTAGATAACTCATTGAAAACTCAATCATCGTCCAATTCATAAAAAATCATGCCCACTTCTGGTTTCGATTCATCCAGAAAAAAAGGAATGAAAAGGCTAGCATAAGTATGCAACAATGTTGTCAAGTGTGGTACCAGAATGGGATGTGGATTCATCAAAAATAGTGTTTGTTCTTTCGAGTGAAAATCAAAACATTCAAAATTCCACTAGATGCAAAGGTATCCAATTAATTAAGTGATTCTCTGTAATAGAAATTGTGATAATAGAAATAAACTCATATATAATGTTCATTAAGCTTCAACAATGACAAAATAACATGTTACAATGCGTTTTGAATTTTATGTGATGCATCTTTTTGATAAACCGAACGCTCTTTGTATGTTGGATAATACACTTAGTAAACACACTTAAAAAGCATAGTAAATGTTGGGATTCCTCCAAGTCCCACACCGGAGGGAGAAGTAAAAATGGACCAAAATATATATGTTCACCCAACCCCATTAGTATGAGGCCTTTTGGGAGGTGCCCAAAAACAAATCCGTGAGGGCTTGGCCCAGAGCGGACAATATCATACTAATGCGGGGTTGGGGTGAGGGCACGCGCAGTCCCAACATGTGGTATCGGAGCCCAGGTTCTTGCGGGCGGGAGTAGCGGACTGTGCAGTGTGGAAAAAATCTCGGTGTGACGGTGTAACTAGGACCAAGACCAAGAAAGAGGATCTGCAGGTGGTGCCTTGTGTCGAAAGTCTTCCCGACGAGAGGAGGTCGGGCGGCGTGTCCCGTGAAGTTATAGCCACGGCGGTACAAGATGATTTGGTGGATCAAATGGTGTAGCCCAGCGAAGGAAAGATCTGCGGTTCGAGCCTTGCGTCGAAAGTCTTCCCGACAGGAGGTCGGGCGGCGTGTCCCGCAAAGAGTGTGCGGCGGTGCAAGATGGTTAGCAGATAAAGAGAAAAAAAAAGGGATTACCGCTGGAGGGGAGGTCGGAAGTTGTGTGGTCCTTGGATGAGGGGAGGTTTGTTGGGATTCCTCCAAGTCCCACACCGGAGGGAGAAGTAAAAATGGACCAAAATATATAGGTTCACCCAACCCCATTAGTATGAGGCCTTTTGGGAGGTGCCCAAAAACAAATCCGTGAGGGCTTGGCCCAGAGCGGACAATATCATACTAATGCGGGGTTGGGGTGAGGGCACGCGCAGTCCCAACAGTAAAAACCCCAAAGATAACCGTGAGGTAGTCAATAATATATATGTTGCATAAACAACATAGTATGTTGCATGTTCGCATTCTTTCTGCACATCATTTGAGCATTCTACAATGCATCTTGTATTCTTAGTGGTGCATATCAAGAGTGTATGTTATGCATATAAACATGAAATAAACTATTTCAAATTGAATAAATTAAAAGAGACTTCTAAATTAAAAAAGTATAATATACAAAACATGTGGATTAAAATTTAAAATTAATAATCTTAAATTAAATTTAGAATTAAAAATCTAAAATTGATTCAAATGTGGTTAGCAGAAGCTATGTTCATTGCTATTACTAATGGTGCAGATTTTTTGGCAATAATTTTGTAATTGCGCCAGCAATATTGAGTCCCAAAACTATATGTTTAATTATGAGATTCAATTTCATAACATTATTCAATTTAGATTTTTAATTTCGAAATTATAAATTTCAAATTGACTAATACTACCGTATCAAAAAAAGTAGATTTATTCATCACGAATTGAAAATAAAGCATACATAATTAAAAAATACATAAAAAAAACTAATAAGAAAAACAAACGAGAAGAAAAATTCACCTGGAGGGGGAGACGAATGGAAAGACGCAACAATCTCCTAACCTTCAAGAACCCGATGCTGATCTTCTTGATCTCTTCGTTGTTGCTACTTGGCGACAACACCGTCACCACGACTAATACCTAATGTAGGTTGTCATTACAAAAGAAAACAAAACCTGGAGTGGAGATTTTGCGTTAATTCCGCAGATCCGATGAATACAAAATAGGAGAGAGACACAGTTATTATGTAAAATCTCCAAAATGCCCAATCTAAGTAGCTTATCTTTAATTCAGATCCCAGTACATCTAATGGTGAGCAATCATTCTTATTTTTTTCATTAGATTACAATATTACATTCTCACCCAAACCATATATATATATATATATATATATATATATATATATATATATATATATATATATATATATATATATATATATATATATATTTTAATATATACCACCAGGGTTTCACCACTCTATGTTTCAGATCTCCCCCACTTACCTGAAACAATGTTCAAATTTTTGAAAAACAAAGAAAACTTTTGCACTTTTACTCACAATTAGAAAAGTTCTTGTGAACATAGATTGTATGCGGAAGTTGGTAGGTCATTTGAGCAGTAATCAATATGGATGGGTTAGTTTCACAGTTAATATAAGTGCAAGTATAAGTAAAGATAAAAGAGAGAGACACAAAAACTTTAACGAGGTTCGAAGGTGGGGTAATCCTTCTACGTCCTCAAAATCCACTATGTAGTTGGTCGTTGAATAATGAACCAACAATTACATTTGTGTGAATTTCTACACGGTATATCTTCGCAAGGCCAATGTTGCTACTGCACTCGTGCTGGCTTTGTTGTTCCTTCGAAGGTCACGCTTCTTCAACAACTACAAGATCCGAACAATAAGACTTGCAAGATCAACTTGTAGAAAAGTTGATGTACCTTGTTTTAATCAAGAAGTTTGATTAAAAGTTGTATCCTTCAACGTGGTGTGGTACTTGAGACCAGGAAACCTTCAAGTGTTTACACTATAGCTCTTTGGAAGGAGGAGAAGTTTGCTTCTGGATAAGGAGTTTAGAAATCTCTCTTTATCAAGCTTTTTGGCTAACTGTGAATGAGATAGCTTAGTTGTTTCTTAATTGTTTGTTGTTGTTGTGGTTGTTCTTCTCTAGTCTTCCATGGAAGCTATATATAGCTGGATGGATAATCTATCCGTTGAAGGGAATAGACTATCCGTTGCATTTGCTGGCTTCAATTTGAATGAAGAGTGAGATTGAGGATTCTTCATTGGAATGGGTGTTTGGACATACCCAATTGTTTGAAGGAGGATTCCTTTTTCACAGAATCCGTCCTCTAGCTGTTGTTCAAGAATTTTGGACTGTAGCTCTTTATTGAGTGGAGTACCCATTTTGTCTTCTTGTGTTTGTTTAGGAATTCTAGGCGAGCTCTTCAATTTGAGAAGTCCAGACTTTGTCTTCATGTCATTTGTTCTTGAATCAGCTTAATTATCCTCAATCTAGCCGTTGAAAATCAAGAAATTGGTTTTTCCTTACCAACGGGTAGAATTTCTTCATTCATGACTTAGATGATTTTCTAAGTCTTTTCTCACTAGTCTGCTTCCGAGAGTTCCGGTCTTCCTTGAGACATCCGGTTCTTAGCTGACAGTTCCGGATTAGTCATTCTTAGATTTCCGGGTGAGAAAGAAATACGCGCTAGTCTTCCGATCCGGATGACTTGGCCTTTAGCGGGTTGTTGCGAGACGTCCGGGTATCATAGAGTATTCCGGATTTGAGAATCTTCAAATTAACCAACTGCCTTGAGAATTCCTTACTTGTCTCTGACATTTCCGAGCAAGAATTCCAATTTCCATATCACTGAATTTGATTAAGTCTTCAAAGAGTAACATCAAACCACAAAGTGAAATATCACAAGTTTTATTGGAAATCTCAAGAACTCGGTTTTAAAAATATTTCTAAAAAGAAAATTACATTGAGTATTGGGGGTGACCTAAAGTTTCTATTACAATCTAAATACATCATCATCAAAATCTATAATTTTTCCCAACAATTTCCCCCTTTTTGATGATGACAAACAAGTGTTTAGGAGTTCCGGTCCCTGTACTGAGAACTAATTTTATAACTTTCTTTTAGTTTCTCATAATATACAGCTTGTTAACAAAAACTCTTAAACAAAATACAATTCAAATTACAACAGTTCCTAAACCAAGTCTTGTCTTGAGATTTGTGTTATTTTTGCCATTTGCTGCTTTCATGTTCAGCTGTTTTTGCTTGAAAATTCAGATGGCATTGTATTTGATGGATCTCAACATCCAAAGTGGACATTGAGATCTTGGAAGCAACATCTCTCCAAAAACAAGGAAAATAAAAACAAGGAAAATTGTTGATACATTGTAGTGAGTTTCTCAAACAGTATCTTTGTACCATACCAACGGTACAACCTAACGTGAGTTTCTCAAAAAACTGTCTCCTCTAGCGGTATCTGAGTCCAATCGGTACCTCGGTACTGTGGGGACAGTAGCCCCTATCGTGTTGACGGTATGGGGTACCGCTAGGGGTACCATGCCACTGCTTCCAACTTTGTATCGACCTCTAGACGCGTGTTTTGAGCATTTGGACTTGATCAATTGTTGATACATTGTAGTGAAATTTGCAGTGAATAGGACTAAAACATAAGTCATTTCCTAATGCAAGACTTAAACCTTTTTATTTCCTAAATAGGACTTAATAATTAATGACTAGTGAGAAGAATAATGTCCAAGTGATGCTGGACATTTAGTTGAATAATGATTAATAGATAATGACCAAAGGTCCTACATTGGGAAATAAAAACATATGATCATATATTGAGAAAGTCATTATGTTTTAGTCTTGTTTAGGTAAATTACTCTACATTGTAATGGGATTATAAGAACCTTAAATCCATTTCAATTCAAGCATTCCCATTTCTCGACAAATATTTAAAAATTGATTTTTATACAAAGGTTTCGTATTCTTGGGATACCATAAACCCATATTGGTTGTTCCCTTGACATATCGAATTATCCGCTTGATGGTGTTTAGATGTGATTCTTTAGGTGATCATTGGAAACATGCACAAAGTCGAACGGAAAACATTATATCGGGTCAAGATGCAGTCAAGTAAAGTAAACTACCAATCATACCTCGATATAGCTTTTCACTTACGGGTTTTCCGCTTTCGTTGCTATCAAGCTTCAAGGACGTGCTCATTAGAGTTGAGCAAGTTTTTGAGTCTTCAAGGTTGAATATCTTGACTAGTTCTTTGGCTTAATTGGTTTGGCTAATGAAAATGCCATCTTCAAATTGCTTGATTTGAAGTCCAAGAAAGAAATTCAACTCACCCATCATGCTCATTTTGAATGTGCTTTTCATAATTTCTGAAAATTAATTACATAAGGATTCATTAGTTGACCCAAAAATGATATCATCAACATAAATTTTCACAATGATAAGATCTTTTCCTTTCGTTTTGACAAAAAGTGTGGAATCGATCTTTCTTTTTGCAAATCCATGTGAGGTGAGATGTTCAGTAAGCTACTCATACCAAGCTCTAAGAGATTGCTTGAGTCCATAAAGGGCCTTATGAAGTTTAAAAACATGATTTGGAAAATCATGATTTTCAAAACATGGAGGTTGTTCAACGTAAACTTTTTCTTTCAACCACCCATTTAGAAAAGCACTTTTTACATCCATTTAAAAAAGTTTGAAGTTAAGAGCACTTGCAAAAGCTAATAACATACGAATATATTCAAGCCTAGCAACCAGAGCAAAAGTTTCATCATAGTCAAGTCCTTCAACTTGGCTATAGCCTTTAGCAACAAGTCGACTTTCATTGGTGATAATAACACCATTTTCATCGAGCTTGTTTCTAAAAATCCATTTAGTGCCCACAACGGGTCAATTTTATGGTCTTTCAACTAGTTCCCAAACCTTGTTGCGTTCAAATTGCTCAAGCTCTAGTTGCATGAATATAATCTAATCACTATCCTTTAATACATCTTCTACGTTCTTAGGTTCAAATTGACTAACTGTTACGGGACTATTATTATTATTATTATTATTGTTATTATTATTATTATTATTATTATTATTATGGTAAGGATTATTTATAGTTAGTTAACTATTATTAGGGAATAATATATTTGTTAGGTGATTAATTAGTTTCCTCGTTTATTTAGTTACCTTTTATAATTAGGATTCTTAATTATTTAGTTACCATTTATTATTGAGATTCTCTAGAGTTGGAGCCTATAAATGTATCCATCACCATAGTATTATCAATCAATGAATAAAGAAAATACTTTCTTTTAAACCTTAATCTCTCTCTTTCTCGCCTCTTTTGTTCTTGGAGCTCGAAGGTGCTCGAAATCCTTCCCTATCCCGATACGATACCGTATCAATTGGTGCTCTCATTCCCTGAACTCANTTTATTTAGTTACCTTTTATAATTAGGATTCTTAATTATTTAGTTACCATTTATTATTGAGATTCTCTAGAGTTGGAGCCTATAAATGTATCCATCACCATAGTATTATCAATCAATGAATAAAGAAAATACTTTCTTTTAAACCTTAATCTCTCTCTTTCTCGCCTCTTTTGTTCTTGGAGCTCGAAGGTGCTCGAAATCCTTCCCTATCCCGATACGATACCGTATCAATTGGTGCTCTCATTCCCTGAACTCATCAAAAAACACAAAAAAAAACATTTTTTTTTCTTTTGGCAATGGATTCTCTGTTGGACAAAGTTCTTGGTTTACTCGAGAAAGTTCTACGGGGACAAATTGAATTTTATGAAGGCGTGTGTGCAGTTGAAGATTCCATAGATGAAATTATAAAGAAACTCCAGTCATTCCGTCCAATTGAAGGTCAACCAAAATATGATTCCGAGGTATATGCGTTCGCCGTAGAGGCCTTTTGTTCAATGCAGGATTTAGTTCGTGGTCTCCCAATTATGCCGAGCCTGATTCCTATAGAGTTATACATTTTCAAAACAACCATGATGCGCTCTATAAAGAAACTCATCGGCGCTCCACGAGATCCGACCCCTACAGTACCTGTGCAGAACACAACTTTGCAGGAACAGGAATTTGAAAAGGAAATTTTTATTGATCATGTTGGTGTTCCCGATGGTGATCTTATTAT